ACAGCAACTAGAAGGATGTGCAGCTATGACAGACAACTATGTACTGGGGCTTTGGGGGAAAAATAAATAAATAAAATCTTTAAAAAAAAAAAAATAATAACTTAAATACTTGCTGACTGATATTACATAGTGCTATCCTATCAAGCTAACTGGCTAAATGCTCCTGCAGAAAGTCATGAGGTTTCAGAAGTTCTGTTGGAACAAAGAGCAAAATCTATAACCCCTATGAAGTCGTCTATTACTCAAGTGCTCAGAGAATTTTGTCAATGCCACCAAGATTCAATGAAAATACTGCCAAAATTAAAAAGCTACTTGAAGCAAGAAATACTTAGCTAACACTTGCAAGTTCTCAGATTACTTACATGATAATCATACTATTAACTATACCTCCTTGCAGATTCACATCCCCCAAGGAAGTAAGTTACTTCCAGAAGCCTACATCAAGGATATGCAGTTCTAAGGGACCTGGATTCATTAGTGGAATGCCAAGAAGAACAGAATCCCAGGCTAGGCAAACTGATATCTGTGGAGTATATACTAACTTTCAATATCATTTGGAAAGTATGAATGGCCACATCATAAAGAAACTACAAAAAGCAGATTGTTTCAACTCCTACCACTGAGGATGAAGTTTATAAAGCAACAAGTATCAAACCAGGTATGACAGTGTGGGATCCTTACCCTGTTTTTTGTAGTGGTCAACGCTGTGGAGTCAAAAAGAGATTAAACAAAAACAAAAGCTGACAGAGAACTCCTGCTTCTTTCTTTAATAAGCTAAGACTGAGGTGCTATTAGCTATTTGTACCAACTCATTCTTCATCTACAAAGGCTTGGAAAAAAGATGTTAAAACATGCCATCATCACAACTGTAATAAAAGTAACAAAACTAACCGTAATCAACATTGTGAGCCAGCATCTCTATTGCCAGTAAAATTCTGGCCAACCGGTGGTGCAGCGGTTAAGTTCACTCATTCTGATTCAGCGGCCCAGGGTTTGCCAGTTCAGATCCTGGGTGTGGACCTACTCACCGCTCATCAAACCATGCTGAGGCGGCGTCTCATATAAAAGAGCTACAACTCTACAACTATGATATACAACTATGTACTGGGGCTTTGGGTAGAAAAAAGAAAAAAAGAGGAAGATTGGCAACAGATGTTAGCACAGGGCCAGTCTTCCTCAAAAAATAAATAAATAAATAAATAAAAAATAAATAAATAAAAAATTCTGGCCAAATATTTAGTTATCAATCATTATTAAGAAGACAGAAAAAGAAGGGAGCCAGGGCCGGCCCTGTGGCTTGGTGGTTAAGTGCGCGCCCTGGAATGCTGGTGGCCCGGGTTCGGATCCCGGGTGCGCATCGAGGCACCACTTCTCCGTCCATCCTGAGGCCGAGTCCCACATACAGCAACTAGAAGGATGTGCAGCTATGACATACAACTATCTACTGGGGCTTTGGGGGGAAAAAATAAAATAAATAAAATCTTTAAAAAAAAAAAGAAAAAAAAAAGAAAAAGAAGGGAGCCAGTACTAATGGTGAAGAGACCCCAGAGTGAAGCAAACTCAAGTCTGAATCTGGTCTCTACCACTGACTAGCTGCATGACCTTGGCCAAGCTACTTCACTTTTCTAATCCTCAGTTTTGGATTTGGTAAAATGGGAATAAATAATATCTGTTTGGTAAAATGGGAATAAATAATATCTAACTCATAGGGTGTTCTGAGGATTAAATCAGATAATGAATATAAAGCATATAATATTTAAGCATTTTTTCAAGAGTTGTTAGGTGTTGGGATGATGATTTTATTATCAACAGCTTCAAAATCTACATATACCATGTACAGGCCTTATGAAAGATGGCATTACTAGCAAAACTTGATCTGTCAGCTACTTCACAAATTTTACTCAACTCAACAACATCTTAAGGCTACTTCACAATTAAACAGCAGGTTGCATCATAATAATCTCCCGGTCATGAGTGAAGTTATTAAATCAATCAGAAAGAGATCGGACTCTTTCAACTCAAGAGATGATACTATTTATCTAAAGTCATGTAAACTGTTAAGGAAGATGTTGTAGGCAGAAGATTATCCTCTTAAGGTATAGGTAGAAAAACAGTAAGAACTGATGATTCTGGTAAAGACTTAGATCACATACAAACTCTTTAATATAAATTTTTTAAACAGGAATAACCAGCTGAATGCTCTTATGTAATTCTTCTTAAGTAGCCCATAGGTAAATTAACCAAGACAGAGAATTGAACTGAAATAGCGTGTCTGACCTTTGAGAGGGACACAAGATGTGGCAGCAAAAGAGCATCAAGCTGCACCAAACTAAAGCAGTTACAAGTGCTAAGTTTTTCTTTTTTTTTTTAAGATTGGCCCTGAGCTAACATCTGTTGCCAGTCTTCCTCCTTTTTTCCTTTTTTCTCCCCAAAGCCCCAAGAGATAGTTGTATGTGATAGCTGTACATCCTTCTAGTTGCTCTATGTGGGATGCTGCCTCAGCATGGCTTGATGAGCAGTATGTAGGTCCACGCCCAGGATCTGAACAGGTGAACCCCAGACCACCGAAGCAGAACGCACCAACTTAACCGCTAAATCACGGGCTGGCCCCACTAGTGCTAATTTTTATGAGTGTGAACTTATTAGACACACATTCTAAGGCTGACAAATATATCAGTATTGCTTATTAATACTCTCCTGAAGATTGGCAAAGTCCTGAAATACATGTTCACCCCAAGAAAGCCACTCTCAGATGACATCTCACAAAGAGATGATGGCAGATCAATCAATGGCTGTACACTGAAATGGAGGCAATAGCAGGCAGAGGAGAAGATTCATTGTAGTGATTCAATAAAGGACAGTGTGAAGCAATCCAACATGTTTGGATGGCTGGGAAATATCTTACAGGCATCTATTATAAAGTAAGAAGCTGTTTTCTCCCCCTCACGACAGTCAAGGCAATAGCACTGTAAGTAGTAACAAGAACTTCTGAGTGGTCAATTTCTTTTTTTTGCTTTCTTTCTTTTTTTTTTTTTTGTGAGGAAGATTGGCCCTGAGCTAACATCTGCCAATCCTTCTCTTTTTGCCGAGGAAGACTGGCCCTGGGCTAACATCCATGCCCATATTCCTCCACTTTATATGGGACGCCACCACAGCATGGCTTGCCAAGCGGTGTGTCGGTGCGCGCCCAGGATCCGAACCAGTGAACCCCAGGCCGCCGCAGCGGAGCGCGCGCACTTAACCGCTTGCGCCACCAGGCCGGCCCCTGAGTGGTCAATTTCTAAAAGACAAGTTTTAAAATAGAAGAATTGTTGGTCTTGATCTAACCTTTCTTGTTACAGTGACCCACAGAGATTATCAATTACTTGAATAGCATTTAAAAAAGAAAATGAAAAGCAATATATTCAGGTTACATGACCTTCTGAACCTGCTGATGTGAGGCTTTATAAATGCTTTAAGTGCTTGTGAATGTGTATATTCTGAACCATTCCTATATCTTCCTCCTCAATGCTAACCAGACAACATTAATGGCAAACTCTCCCTCTCTCTTTCCCCCAACAACAAACACAATTCTCTGTACACAGTTGACATTGAATAAATATTGACCAATCAAATGAAGCATTTTGCCAAAACCCCAAGGGTATTTCATCAGACCAGTGGGTCACGCTATTCTGTGCCTTGCATCACAATGAACTCTTCGGGGGCCTTCTCCTGGTCAAAGGTCATTTAGTGTAACTGCTTTGCAAAATGAAACTTTTTGGTCCTATACTACCTGTCTTGAATAAGAAACAAAAGAAAATGAGATGTCCTCCTGTAAACCTAGCCAGATAACTTGTACTTTACCTAGTGTTTGTGAGTATGTGGGGTATTAGAGAGGATGAAAGGAATTATGTACTATGCACTGGGACAAACCACAACAGTCTTCTCATATTCCAACCACAGAGTTCAAACTATTTTTGTGTGTGTGTGTGTGTGTGTGTGTGTGTGTGTGTGAGTGTGTGTGAGGAAGATCAGCCCTGAGCTAACATCCATGCTAATCCTCCTCTTTTTGCTGAGGAAGACCGGCTCTGAGCTAACATCTATTGCCAATCCTCCTCCTTTTTTCCCCCAAAGCCCCAGTAGATAGTTGTATGTCATAGTTGCACATCCTTCTAGTTGCTGTATGTGGGACGCGGCCTCAGCACAGCTGGAGAAGTGGTGTGTTGGTACGCGCCCAGGATCCGAACCGGGGCTGCCAGTAGCGGAGCACACGCACTTAACTGCTAAGCCAGGGGGCCGGCCCCACAGAGTTCAAACTATTAAGGTCACATTTCATTTTCAGAAAATAAAGCTCCTTTGTTTCTGGGTCCTACTGCCAGGATACTAACCACCCTTCTGCTCCTGACAGGTATCTTGAATGGGCTAGTCTAGAACTGTGGCTGATTACCATTAGTTCTCCTAGATTCTAGAGTTGCCTTAGCTGCCATTCACCCAACTTCTCAAGGTTCTCGCTATGGGAAGAAGAGCAGGAGAAGGGACCTTTTGTGGCTAGGGTGAGACAACTCTGTGAAAATTTCCTAAGGGACCCTACAGTTAAATCACATCCTTTTCAATGATCCAACAGCCCTGTGTACATACCTCTATTATAGCAAGATTACTGAATTATAGTTTCTTTTTTACATGAACATCACCCTAACCAAACCAATAACCTTGGTGATAGAAAGTATGCTCCATTGATCTTTGTAATCCCAACAACTGACAAAAAGCAAGCCTACAATAAAAATTTGTTAAATGAGTTTCTGGCATAACTCAGAAAAATAATTTTCCTAAAGATTCTCCATTCCTTTTTCTTCCTTCACTCGCAAGTCCTGGGTCAAGTCCTGTGAAACCCCATCACATATCAATCACCACAACAAAATTTCCTACCTCCCAGTACTTGGTTCGGTTGATACCCTCTGCATATGCTCGGGAAAAGTTACTTTCACTGTTGAGGGCTGTGACGGCTGCACTGAGCTGAGACATGGGGTGTAGATTGGTGGGAAAGTTGTCTAGCATGGTGACCACATGGGAAGGCAGAGCTGCCCTCTTTGCCCATTCTTTTGAGAGCCAAGATACCTGTGGAAAGGGAGACACTGCTCAGAACACTAGGCAAGGAAAAAGAAGAGAAATAAAAAGACAGTGATACTTGAGTAAAGAAAATCCAAGAGGATTCAACCCCATCCACTTATACAGCAGAACTCTACTCTGATTCCTTCTCCTCACTGCACATCTCTATTAACTACCACCCATAGCCAGATCAGGATTAAGTGTCTGAGATTGGAGAAAGGCAAAGGAGGAGAATGGGAAGGGCTAATGTCCTTCTGCCTTACCTGTTCCTCTGTTGGGATTTTTCCAGTTACCAGCAGCCAAAATAAGCCCTCTGGCAGGGGTTCTTCTCCACCCTTAGCCTTGGGCAGCAGTTTCTGGCATTCAGGGATACTGTAGCCACGGAAACGGATGCCCTTGAGGAAGAAGAGTAAGAATTATAATTTTTAAGTTTACTAGCCTGGAAGTCACATAATTGACTGGTCCCACTCTTATCAGACCTGTCAAGTTAGAATAGAACTTTTATTTATTTATTTATTTATTTATTTTTTTTAAAGATTTTATTTATTTATTTTCCCCCCAATGCCCCAGTAGATAGTTGTATGTCATAGGTGCACATCCTTCTAGTTGCTGTATGTGGGACGCGGCCTCAGCACGGCCGGAGAAGCGGTGCGCCGGTGCACGCCGGGGATCCGAACCCGGCCCGCCAGCAGCAGAGCGCGCGCACTTAACCGCTAAGCCACGGGGCCGGCCCTAGAATAGAACTTTTAAAGCTTAAATCCTCATATAACTTACTTCTGCTTTGTACTTTCAGTTTTACTAGTTGAAATATTAAAAAGGTAAACTTGTTGTTCTTCAATTATTCCATATGTACCTATTTTCCACTTTCCAAAATGTAAAGGTAGGTGCTTTATTTTGCTCTCCTTACCCTCCCTAGTCTAATCCATGGTGTGCACAATAGTCAGTAAACTCAGTGATTATTAGTAATTGACATGATGGTCTCTTACCTCATCAGGATCAAGAACTGATGTTTCATATACCAATCCCTTCAGGCCCCTCATGCCACCATACATCTAAAGAAAAGAAGAGGATGTAACCAGTAGTCAGAATAATTCAGGCGGGAGTTTGTTAGTGCTTCATGGGATCTGGGAGAGGAAATTTAATCTCTGACTTGCAGGACTTCGTTTAGGGGAAGAAGATTTCTGAGGAGTTAAACTTACTATAGAATGAAACTTTTCAAGGAAGACTGGTAACGTTGGAAATGAAATTTTTAAGTTCATAAATCACTATCTTTATTTAAGATTAAGTTTCTGCCTCTGTTATGCTTCCTTTTCTTATTGTATTTTATTTTTTTCTCCTGCCCACTCTTACGCCCTCATTCCCACCAATCAAATAAACAGAATGGGATCTATTACAGGAAACAAAGATGGAGACCAATGGCTAAACACTGCTGTGGAATTATCATCTGAGCTGCTCAGATTCTTAGGGCTGGAGAAGAAGCCATCCTAAAGCTGTTCCAGAGGCCTGCCACAGCTGTGGTTTAAAACACAGAGAGCCCTAGCCCCAAAAGCTGATGGGTTGGGAAGAGGAATAGAAACTTCATCATCCCTCCCATAGGTGAAATAGGTTAAGCTCAACTATTAAATTTGTAGAAAAGAACAGTCTAATTTCTAATGAACACCATAAGCTCCAACATTTCCTTGTACAGGACAGAATGTTTTCGAATAGTCAGTGAAGAGAATGGTACTTTTGTTGAAGCACATTACAGAGCTACTTCTTCCAGCCAAAATCCCACAACCCTTACCATGTCCACAGTAATTTGGCCCACCACCGTGCTGCCATGTTGCTGCCTGAAGGTCTTAACTCTGGCCTGCTCCTTCGGTATCAGGTCAGCCAATATATCTTTCAGATTCTAAAAAGAGAAGTAGAGAGGTTAAGTGATGGTGAAAATGATGATTAGATTTCCTGCAAAGTAGGTATGTTAACACTGTTTTTTAGAATTTGGCTTTCTCTATCTGCCAGGGAAGTCTGGTCAACTGCTCTGTACAGATGAGGGTAAAAGAATTAGATAAAAGGAGAAGAGAATGGGGGAGTTATTGTTTAATGGGTACAGAGTTTCAATTTGGGAAGATGAAAAAGTTCTGGAGATGGATAGCGGTGATGGTTGCACAATAATTTGAATGTACTTACTGCCACTAAACTATACACTTAAAAATAATTAAAATGGTAAATTTTATGTTATATGTATTTTACCACAATTTAAAAATTAAAAAAAAAGATTAGGCAAGAATATTTGATATTCCCACCTCAATACACTATTGAGCAAATTATTTCTTTTTTTCCCCCCTTTTTCTCCCCAAAGCCCCAGTAGATAGTTGTATATCATAGTTGCACATCCTTCTAGTTGCTGTATGTGGGACGCTGCCTCAGCATGGCCGGACAAGCGGTGCGTCAGTGCACGCCCGGGATCCGAACCTGGGCTGCCAGCAGCGGAGACCGCGCACTTAACCACTAAGCCACGGGGCCAGCCCCCGAGCAAATTATTTCTTAAAATAGTAGTAATAATAATAGTTATAACAACAACAACAGACACCTCCATGAGATACTCAGGATAACGATGAAAGGCTGAGTGGTAGCTAAACCACCCCCCACTCCCCCATCCCAGAATCAGGCTGCCTCAATGATTCTCAGTCCTCTTTTCCAAACATTACCGTGGAGGAAGTGCTGGCATGCCGGGCAGCAAGAACAAGACAGGATGCATTCTGCAAAGAAAACACAAAACCTTATGCAATAGTTACTCCTCCCTCCTAGTATTAATAAGGAGTTACAGTGACTCAACCTCTCTCTCTTCATCTTGGCCTCTAAGGACAGTTTGACATATGAAAGCTATAAACGGCCCTGAGCAGCTTGGAAGGAGTTACTAGTCTGGAGGCAGCAGCAGGTTTAACTGTGCTTCTCGCATCCATAGCTTCATTAGCATTCCCTGAAGAGAGATTCTTTCCCATCATCTGGGTTCCAGAGTTGGGCTTTGTTAGGCACAGAGAAAAGGTCAGGGAGGCAGTTAGAATACCCAGTCCATCCCAATCTAGCTGTCAATAGTTCTGAATGGCCCTGAGAAAAGCCAATGAGGAAACTGATCAATTACTTAATGGTGCTGGTAAGATCTCCCCAGTGCCTAGTCTTTTGGCAGCCTTCCACCTCTCCAGTCTAGGAGAGCCCACAGGCAGAGGTGGCCTTTCACAACACTATTTCACACTCCTGGAAAAAGCACAGAGAAGAGAGAATGTTTACAAAGTAACAACTGACAGAAGACAACTCAACAGCAATGGAAACTAGAAAACTGGAAAATTATCTTCAAAGTGCTGAGAGAAAATAATTAACTTTAGAGTTATGTATCCAGGCGAGGAAAAAATCTTAACAAAGGGGGTGAAATAAAGACATTTCTTTTCTTTTTTTTTTTAAAGATTTTATTTATTTATTTTTTCCCCCCAAAGCCCCAGTAGATAGTTGTATGTCATAGCTGCACAACCTTCTAGTTGCTGTATGTGGGACACAGCCTCAGCGTGGCCAGAGAAGCGGTGCGTCTGTGCGCACCCGGGATCCAAACCCGGGCTGCCAGCAGCGGAGCGCGCACACTTAACCGCTAAGCCACGGGGCCGGCCCATAAAGACATTTCTGATAAAAGCTGAAAGTTTATCACCTACACACCTGTACCAAAGGAATTTTTAAAGATATGCTTCAGGGCCGGCCCCGTGGCTTAGCGGTTAAGTGTGCGCGCTCCGCTGCTGGCAGCCCGGGTTTGGATCCCGGGCGCACACGGATGCACCGCTTCTCCGGCCAGGCTGAGGCCACGTCCCACATGCAGCAACTAGAAGGCTGTGCAACTACGACATACAACTACCTACTGGGGCTTTGGGGAAAAACAAATAAATAAATAAAATTATAAAGATATGCTTCAGGAAGAAAATTATCCAGAAAGATAGGTCTGAGATTCAAGGCGGCTATCCCTCACCACAAAGAGAAATAGCGTAGCTAGCCTATGTTTTGTATCTTTAAGAGATAGGTCTTTTTTCCCAAGGAAAAACTACTTTCTGAGAAGGTTGCTGAGTTGCAACAAAAAGTTCAACAGTGCCTTTGAAAAAGATGACCAATTATGCCACTAACTAGCTATAAGAGCTTAGACAAGATTAACTTCTACACCAGATTACTTTGAAGATAAAATGAGATCATCAAAGTAAGCCTGTTTCCTCACCTAAAAAATGGTGCTGTTACCCACCACACATCTCATGGAGTTGTCTTGTGATAATTAAATTACAATGAATGTGAAAGCACTTTGCAAACTAAAAAGATTACACACACACACACACACACACACACACACACAAATAAACTAATCCTGGAACAAGTCAACACCTTTCCTCCTTTTGCCAAAGGGCCAGACACCTTTTCTAGTAACTACTGCATTGCTGTCTGGTTGCACTCAAAATCATTTGAACCAGTGGTACTATAAAATTCCAAAATGCTACATGCCTAGGATGAGAGTTCATTAGAATATGAGGCTTTTTAGAATTTAGTACCCCTCTTTCTGTTGGGGCAGAGGGGAGGATTGAAAAGGGAAGAGATCCTTCAGAAAAGGATCTTTTTATTTTAAAAAGAATCAATCCAAATCTAAATTCAGAGAGCACAAGGCAAGCTAATATGTCCCTAAAGCAAAGGAGGAACGCCTCAACTTGTTAACCAGGGCTGTCCTTAACTCCTTTCATTAACTTCCTAAACAGTCTCCTCCAGCTTACTGAGGACCACTTGGACAAGAAGTAGGCAGCAAAACAGCCCGTTAGCCTCTTCACCCTACATGGGGCGAATGGACGCTGGACCCAGCACTCAAGAAATAACTTTGCCTTTTCTTACTAGTCACCAAAAAGTGGACAAGGAAAAACTTGTGAATAAGTTCAAACTACTGTTCTACAGAGCTAACCATGTTCAAGCTATTCCATGCTCCATGGTCCCACAGATCCCCTATTAAAAAGGTCCCATCTGCTAGAGACCACATCGGCCCTGTAGCAGATCTTTTAACTGTGGGTAGTTGGTTGTTATGGTGGTTTTGTTTTGTTTTTATTTATTTATTTTGCTGAGGAAGATTCGCCCTGAACTAACATCCGCTGCCAATCTTCCTCTTTTTGTACGTAAGCTGCCGCCACAGTATGGCCACTGACAGATGAGTGGTGTAGGTCCACGCCTGGGAACCGAACCTGGGCTACCGAAGTGGAGCGTGCCAAACTTAACCACTAGGCCACTGGGGCCAGCCCTGGTTTTGTCTCTAAAGAGGCTACAAGGGGGCTGGCCCCGTGGCTTAGCGGTTAAGTGCGTGTGCTCCACTGCTGGCAGCCCGGGTTCGATCCCGGGCGCGCACCAACGCACCGCTTCTCTGGCCATGCTGAGGCCGCATCCCACATACAGCAACTAGAAGGATGTGCAGCTATGACCTACAACTATCTGCTGGGGCTTTGGGGGAAAAAATAAATAAATAAAATAAAATTAAATTTAATAAAAAAGAGGCTACAAGGGAACATATCATCTGAGAGAGGAAAGAAGTTGAAATCTCTCCATAATGATAATTTTTCCACTTCTAAACCAATCTTAAGTTTCTATAATGGCTGGCTGCTTCAATGGCAAGAGGAAAGATTATAAGAATAGTTTAAGGTTAAATCTCAGGCCAAAAAAAAATCCATCCAAGCTTAACAGATAGAATGAGAGCCCAGATCTTAAGATGAAAATGGAAATTCCTTCAGGTTGGAGGTCTTTCTTCCACCAATATGAACATAAAAGAAAATGAAAACAGTTTTTTCCCCCTTTTGAGAGAGAACTGCTAGAATTAATAAGCTGCCCTCTCCTTTTACTTCATTTAAGATTATAAGAAAAAGAGGAAATCAGAAAGAAAAGAGTGGAAGGTCACCTAACAAGCCTGTAAGAATGCAACATCATTTAAAGGAATCATATGGGTCATGACTATTGCTTAGTTACAGTCATTTCTCAGATCTCTTTCTATGAATCCTACTTTAAGAGAATGTTATGGCACCCCACTTCCACCATCAGCAAGTCTTAATTTCCTTTGTAGAGAACGTCTTTGCCATTTAATGAGGAGCCTCACGAGTAACTCAAAGAGAGCTGATCTCCACTGTCCCTAATCTCCATCAGCAACACTTCTTAACCAGATCTCAATTTGCAAAGCAATGATAGTTTGTGGAGAGCTTGGCCATGTAGCTATAGAATAAAGCTAGTATATTCTGTTTGTACTACACTTCTCTGCCACTCACTGGCTGTGTGACCCTAGCTAAGTCATTTAACCTTTTTGTGCCTCAGTTTCCTTATCTGTAAAATAGAAACAATAATGGTACCTACCTCAAAGAATTTCTATGAGGATTAAGTCAATATTGGCAAAGTACTTAAAGCCATGTCTGACACATAGCAAGTGCTTTGTATTTGTTATATATAATAAATATATAAAAATAAATAGTATGGCCACTTTCCTGTACCCTTCAGTGTCAGGTTTGGTCATGTTTTTAGCTAATCCTGCAGCTTAGAAGAAAACTAAAGAAATCAGAAGGATTTTAAAGGCAGCAATTCATTGATATGACCGCTCAAAGGGCTAGAATAGGAAAAATTGAAGTTAGGACAACTTATGTAATGATGTAGAAGACAGAGCACACGACTTAGAATTAGGAAAGGAAATCTGGGGTCTAGCCCCAGCTCCATTACTAAGCAACTGAGACAGCCAAAGCAAATCAACTAGCAACTCTGTTTTCCTTTCCTTCTCCATATTTAGGATAACATTCAAGCTACTTAGCTCAAAGTCTGGACATATGTAAAGGTACTCAAAAGCCTTGCTATTTCAAGCATGACTGCATGGCCAGCAGCATTAGCGTTACTTGCAGCTTGTTAGAAATGCAGAATCTTGGTCCTCACCTCAGACCTAGTGAATCCAAATCTGCAGTTTAACAAGCTCACTAGGTGATCCATATGAGCAATGAAGTTTGAGAACACCCACCATTGAAAGTGTTAAGCAAGGGAGCAGAAGGGTAGAAGGTAAAGAGCGTGGGATGCCGAGTTATCAAGGATCAAGTCCTAAATCCAGTTCTGCCACTATCCTGCTGTGTTACCTTGGCTATATGACCTAACCTCTAAGTCTCAGTTTTCACATTTCTAAATTGGTAAAAATAGTGCCAAATTCAGAGTAGACATGTAGGCTATATAAAATGATTTGCATGTAACCATGTAGAACAGTGACTTCTGCATAGCTGAGTCCGATAAATATTGTTTCTTAGAAATGTGTTGGCCTATTACCTACCACTTCAAGCGCTACAACTCTCTCCTGGAGTTGGATCCCAGAAAAGAGGCAGTCAAGCATGCGGAAGGGGTGAATGGATAATTCCCTCTAGTAGTAGAACAGGAAATACAGCCACAATTTCCTTTTTAAGGGCCTCCTGACCATGAGGAGAGGAGTCTCAGGGAGAGGAAACAAATTTAACCAACCATAATCTCCACCAGCAGAGCAAATGACTCTAGGTAGGAGATGCTGGAGGACTGTCACACCCAAGGCTACACATCTCATTTCATCTGCCCCCTGGCTGCCAAAGAAAGCTGCTGACTAGTTTTGTACAGTACATTCAGGCTATACTCACTGATGGGACAGGCAGATTACAAACCTCTGAGTCATCCATGAACTTTCACTTCCTAGCTCCTCCCCCAATTCTGGAGGTGTGGCAACTGGGTTTTTGGCTTCTGGTTGCAAGCCACGTGTAGAGTCACCCTACTGGAACAGCAGCTAGCTGTCAGGTGAGTCAGGGAGTCACCTCACTCAATAGGTCAGCTCTTTCATGGGGAGAGATGGAGAGAGCTGCTTCCAAAGTGTAGGGCCTGGCTCACAACGCCTGACAGCTGGGATTCCCCACAGGGTGGGGGTAGGGAGGCTTTTTCAAACCTCATAGGCTGCCACCTCTTGCAAGGAGTCTTCTAGAGTGTTTGCTATTATTGATAGAAGTAGTGGTCTGTAGCTCTCAAATGTGCTAGGATGGAAAATATAATTAAAAGAACCTCTATCTTAAAGGGCCAAGGGAGGAAAAGGAGTAATAGTACATGCAAGAAATTCTGCCAGACTTGCCTATAATACTTAGGGTATTTCTGGAATAGGGTATTGGCCAAATCACTTACCAAAAAAATCAGTAAAAACTATTCTCCTCTCCCCACAAATTCTGGCAACAGTGGAATCCTATTTTGTTAAGCACTTACTCAATAATGTGGTTATTTCTCTCTTACTCCTCTTAGCCTATTATCATCACTGGTCCACACCCAGGACCCTTACTTTACAGGGAAAAAGCCAAAGTTTCTTTGATCCTCCATTGTAGGCACATTCAGAACACATCCTGCCACATATCCAAGAGCTCCAACATTAAAAGCTTGAGAGAGAGGCTCCTGATTTTAATAGAGCTCTTGTCCTTCATCAACCAAAGATCAGAGCTTGCCAAGCCAGCAGAACTAGCTTAGCTGATGAAGCAAACGTAATGCACTAATAACTGGTAGAAAAAATCTTGTGGTACAAAGGCTTCCAATGCAGAAGGAACAACTTGCATTAAGGGAAAAAGAACATGCATAGGACAAAGGCTCCTCTCTCCCCAGAACCAGGTCAGAGAACTGAAGCCATTTAACATCTGTGTTTCACAATGGTGATACTGGAAGTTGGCCTGCACTACTCGTCAGGCTACTTAATAGCCTGAGCAGAGTAATCTTCAGATTTCACACTTTGACCTCCTTCATACGCACAGGAGTTTACTTAATAATTCTACCTAACTATCCTTTTCTACAGACTTCCCTAAAGGTTCACTGATCATTCATTGAGGAAGACAGCAAAGGATACCAATTCAGCCTAAGAAGCAAGAGTCCTAATTTTCCTTTCAGTAGAAATCCTTACTGTTCTTCAAACAAATATTTGCTGAACACTTACTTATCATGTGCACACTAAGCATACACTGTGAATAAAGTATGTGGAATCTGTCACCTCACTACTTTCTCAGGAACTAGGAACTGTTCCCTCACTTCTACTAGGAGTTCTTACAAGTTTAATGCTTTGCTCCAGGGATTTACAAGAAACTTTTCCTAAGGCATTTGAAAAAAGGCCTAGGAAGACAAACCTAGAGAACATAGCCTAAAACGGACTATTGCTTAGAATAGTCACTTCTGATGTCAATTTTTAAAATAATCACTAATTCTAAAAAAATGCCCACTCACTCAAAGTTTCATATATATATTCCATAAAGTTGCAAACAACAAGGCCTGCATATGGCTTTACTAGCCCAACAGAAGGGGACCACCGAGCATCATCAGTCAACTGAGGTACCTGAATAAACAGAAGTTTCCAGATCCCATTCCACCTTTGCTGAATCAGAACCTGAAGGTAGGATTCACGAATGTGCAATGTGAGCAAGCATCCCAGGTGGTGATACCAATGCAAACTTGCAGACCTTTAAAAATGATAGCATGTTAAAAGAAACACAGGGATCTAAAGAATTTGGGCAGTTGAGGGAAGAACTGAAAGATAATCAGATCCTAAGAAAGATCTATTGCTAAAGTTGTCTCACTACTGTTTTAAATTTCACATCCTACTCAACTCTATCACATAAAGCATTGCAACAGGGCAGAAGGAATTACTGTGTGGCTTTAGAGAGATCCACCAAGTCTGGTTTCCTGCCTTCTGCCTCCTTGGATTCTAAGAACCAGGAATGCCAGACTTCCCTTCTCTCATTATCCACTTCACCACTGCTCACCTTGCCTCCCACACCCATGCATTCACCTGCTACCAATCTAAAGGCCACCAGGAAGAACAAATGCCACCATCCCACCACAAGCACGTGATGAGGCTTTACTTTGCATTTTCCACCTTTGGTCCATTTAGTAAATGTCAAGGAATTGCCATCACTTTGGGCAGGCTAATATTCAAAGTGAAGGCACAGAGATTTAAATGCTTGCCTTTTTTTTTTTTTTTAAATTTTTAATTTATTTATTTGTTCCCCTAAAGCCCCAGTAGATAGTCGTATGTCATAGCTGCACATCCTTCTAGTTGCTGTATGTGGGATGCGGCCTCAGCATGGCCGGAGAAGCGGTGCATCGGTGTGTGCCCGGGATCTGAACCCCGGCCGCCAGCAGTGGAGCATGCACACTCAACCGCTAAGCCACGGGGCTGGCCCTAAGTGCTTGCCTTTAAAAGTTTTGGGCTTTAAGCCTAACTAACATTTTATTGGACAAAACTGACTCGGTTTTGCTGAACCCAATTTCAGACTAGGATTTATATAGGAGATGTTGTGCAGTGGTGTAGGTCTGCTATAAAGGAATCACAGGTGTTAATTTAAGTGTCTTGAAAAAGTCTAGAAATAATCTAGAAACACTTTTGGATTGATTTACTCAAAGTTATCAAACATCTTAGCTTGGAGGAGCAATTCTCAATGGTACAAGAAGTAACTAGAGTTGGTTAAGTCACATTGGTGTCAAGAGTCCAGAAGTGAATTGGTGGCCCTACTCCGAGTCCCAGCCCAAAACCAAACCCAGATCACCTGTGAAAAGTCAGTATTTACATCACAAAGCTAAGGCACCCACAGATAATACTAAGGCCATTGCTTAGTATGAATTCAGTTAAACAAGAAGTCAAATAATCGCAAGGTTCTGAATTTCTCTCTCTCTCCAATTTAGGTGTTTATTTAAATTTCCTGACAGTAGGTAGGGTGGAACAGTAGAACAATGACTAGTATTTGTGTCTCCTAGCAAGGTTAAAAAAATCTCTCCTCAGAAAAGTGCAACTACACCTGACCTTGAGAATCAAAGTGGTAGGGGTCAGTCCTCCCAGGCCAGAAGACTATTTTTGCCTTCTAAAGCCTACCTTAATAGGAAAAGTAAAATCGAGTACCAATTAAGCTGCAAGCTAATCTGGAAAGCTCAGGCAGGTGCTAACAATGCTGACAAACTAAAAGGCTTCTTGGCATCCTGGTCATACTTCTTAGACCTCAGGAAGTTTCTACTCCTGAGTCTGTTGGGCTTTGCTAGTTTTAAGGGTCAAAAGCCTTCTAATGGCTTCCATTTTACAGGTTTCTGAGATCCTGAGGTCTATCTCTAACAGGAAAGTAAACAAAACAATAGTGATACTACAATTATGTAGCCCTCTCACCCCGAAAGCTTTCTGAGCTTCCTTAGAGGCTTAAGAGGCAAAATAAATTCAAAAGGTAAATTCTAAAGGCTTTTTCAAATTCACTGTAGGGTCAGACTATCTGGTCTGGGTTAGTAACTCTGGAATGAGCTAATTATAGTGTCCCCTATTCTGCCAAAACACTGTCTAGAACTTGCTTCGCTTCCCAAGAGGCTTCCTTACCCTGTTCCCTGGCAGCAGGAGAAGCAACAGTCAAGACAAATATCTCCCAAACGATCAGCCTCCACCTTGCTGCTGGGTGCCTGGAAGAACCCCAGTGTAAATCCTACATGTTTCACCTTATCCACCAACCATGCAAGATAACACACAACAAGCCAACACCATTCCAAGGCTCCTTTCCTTCAGGTGCTGGCAGCTTTAATCTGTCTGCAAAAGAGAAAGCATAAATTCTTCGAAGGAGTCAAGGTCACTTGTGGGACTGTCCCCACTTGCATTAGAGGGTAGGACTCCCTCAGCACAGCAGTCTCTCTGTTTAAAGGGCCGAGTTACCCAGAGACAAAATGACTGGCAATTTAAAATTGAAAGCACCATTACCTGCAACAACATTCCTAGGATCCATAAGGCAACAAAAGTCAAATCAAGAGCCCCAAAGAACGAGGGGAATCTCTCCTGAGAAGAGCAGAATTAAGAGCAACAGCAAAACCCCTGCGAGCAAGTAGTGGGATTGGTCATGTGATTTCGGCATTACTTTTTCCTGCCCAGTATCTTCACTTATTGGCCTGCAGTTTGGGTGAACAATCTTTCTCATTCTTTCCCCCATTATATGTTATAATCAAGCAGAAGGTTTTACAGAAGCGCTCCACCCCATTCAAGCTCCTCCTATAGAGTCCCAAGGACAAAGAGCACCTGAGTCCCACTCCTCTAGCAGGAAATGCTACGGCTTGGTCACTAAAGGCTTCAATAATTGGGTTGGAGAAATGGAAACGGGCAGTTCAGGAACTAACAACGCCCTCCCTACAAAGCAGAAGCCGAAATTAGCCACCGCTCCAGCTCCGGCCCAGGGACAGAGCGAGCACATCTGCTCACCCCTGCCACTCCTCCTACCCCCGCCCCCTCCTCCACACAGGCTCTTTCCCTAACTCCAGGGGAACACAGCACCTATGCCCTCCACTGGCGTTCCTCCTTCTTCCAGGGCCACGCTTCCACCCTACACATGCGGGGTGACAGCAGGGTCCGGCCTCCCCTCCCGCCCCAGCCCGCGTGCCGGGCGGGCGGCGCTCACTTCACCCGCAGGGCTGGAAGGCCGGCGCAGCACATGGCCCGAGCTCCACGCAGGGCAGGCGGCCAACCAAGCGCAGGGCCCCTTTAAGGCGCGCCGGGGCGTGTATGGTGAGGGGAGGGAGACCCCGGCGGAGGGCCTGCAGCCGCCTCAGCCCCACCCAGGGATGGCGCCCCCCCTCCCTCAGTTGCTCACCTTGGCTCCGAAGAGCCGGGCGGCAGCAGTGAGTAAAGCCATGTCGGGCGAACTCGGGGATCTGGTGGGGAGGGAAGGAGGGGAGAGCGCTGCGGCAGGAACGGGAGACGCTGCCGCTGCACCACAGGCCGCGCCGACCGGCGGACAAGGTTGAAAGGAGGCGGCTGAGGGAAAGGGTAGACGAACCGGCGGCGGCGCCCAACCCGGGGTCCTCAGCGAAGCCCCGCCTACCGCCCGGAGCCCGCTCCCCCCCCTCTGTGCTCGGCCATTGGCCCGGCGTGGAGGGGGGCGGGACCTGAGCCGTTGACAGCAGTTGTGGCGGGCAGGATTGGACCGCCCGCGACAGGCTTATTAAGCCTGGATCGGCGTGGGGAGGCGTGTAGGTGGCTAAGTATGTGCCTGGGAACTCAGTTAACTTCCTTCTTAGGCTTTCCCCCTTGCCCTTAACACATTTGGGGTTAGTTCTGAGGTGAATATTAGAGAAAAAGCCCCAAGGACTTCGACCTTTCAATGTTCTCGGGAGCCAATCCCTTAATATACTATCACGGCAACTGATCATTGCCCACTCCTCCTTCCCCCTTGGCATGCTTTCTTGAAGAATGTCTTTGGTCAATGACTTAATGGCCATAGAGGTGACATCATGTGGACACAGGCTATGATGCCAGAGTTAGCAGCTTGGTGGAGATCATTTGAGGTCAGCAGAGGCCATGGTATTATAGATACTAACAGACCCCAATATGTGGAGAAGGAAAGCAAAGGCAGGAGCCTGAATATCCTGTGCTCTTTGTGGGCTGTCAGTTCTGACTTCCAAGTCTTCCAAACTCTCCCTCCCCTAATATGAAGGCTTCCAGCGCAGGCCAAAGCCTGAGTCCTGGGCATTTTGTCTCACCACCACCCCAGTCACATTACCTCATCTATCCAGCCCACCCCACATCTAAGCATAAGATCAGGACTGCAGACCAACCCCTCATCCAAAATCAGGCATTAGGCACCCTCCCTTTTTATCACATCACTCCTGTCACTCCCATAGGGCCTCTGGACCCCTTCTCCTACTTCGCTATCTTCTATACACTCTTATCCTGTGCTCCCCAGAGACCATTAAGTGAACCAGAGCACTAAAGTGATCTTCCACACCACTCTTGACTAACTCTCTGGGTAGACAAGACCTCAGGACCTTTCTACCTCCCTAAGCCTATCATTGTCATTGACCCAAGGGCAGAGGGGAACTGACCCAAGGACCAGGGCACCTTATCTACAAACCCCAAGTGAAGAGTCCTTTTATCTCCTCACATAGCAGTGACATCAGGGTTCAGAGGTCTCAGTACCACCTAAGCCAGGTTTAGACAGACCTAGTTTATAAAGAACCTAGTTTATAGCTTGGACTTGGAAAAAGAGAAAGAAAAACACCATTTCCTCTTCCCAAGTTTCCTCATACCCAGCTTCACACTTACTAGTCAATGCTGCTCTGGCTTGGGGATTAGATAGGTAGGTCTTATGAAAGAACTTCATAAAGGGCCGGCCCTGTGGCTTGGTGGTTAAGTGCGCGTGCTGCGATGCTGGTGGCCCGGGTTTGGATCCCGGGTGCGCATCGAGGCACCCCTTCTCCATTCATCCTGAGGCCGAGTCCCGCATACAGCAACTAGAAGGATGTGCAGCTACGACATACAACTATCCACTGGGGCTTTGGGGGGAAAAAATAAAATAAATAAAATCTTTAAAAAAAAAAAAAAAAAAAAGAACTTCATAAAGAGAAACTAAGCAGTGCCCCAGAGGAGCACTGACCTCAGCTACCTCCTGTGTGACTTCAAAGCTCCACTGATCAATATTTGCTCCCAATTTAGCATCTCACAGAGGATTTCCTTGTAACCCTAGAATAGTCTGACCTGGTTTCTTCTCTCTGGTTAATTATCCACAGAGACTAGGCAGCAGACCAGAGGACTGAACTCCAGTGTCCCAAGAGACAGGAGGCATTCTCAGGGTTAGGCTACCAAAGGAATAATTATTGAGTGGCCATAGGGTAACCTATTTTGGAGCTCTAGCGGTTGGAAGGAAGGTGGGGAACAGTAATGCTCTAAGCTCCTTGACACAGTGTCCTGGAGCCTAGCATCACCAGGACTTTATGGACTTGGAAGTTGTTCACGTTCACTCCTGACATCCACTGCTCTAAGATCAACGGGAAAGCCCAGGGATCAAAGGGACTAAATGGTATCTCCCAGGAGCTGGCTTAGAGTCTGTTTCTGAACATGGATGGGACCTGGGGAGGTGGGAAGAAAGTTAAGGGAGAAGGATTGGCATGAATAAAGCAGCCAAGTGAGCTGTAGGTCCAAATACAACTAAGTGCCTGAGAACTGGAGGGAGCATGGGAAAGAAGGCTGAGCATTGAGGTCATCTTGACCTTGGGAGGACCTCTTTAAAATGGACAGAGGCAATGGTGCCCCCTAGTGGTCAAGTATAAGTGGGAGAATGCAGCCTAAACTTAACTGTCTACATCAGTAAACCAAACTCTTGTATTTAATGGGTAATAGCTAAAATTTATTGAATACTTACTACTTCCAGATACTATCTAAATGTGATACATGCATTATCTTAATTAATCCTCACAACAACTCTAAGGGATGTAGGTAATATTAGTATCTCCGCAGTGGAGGAAACCAAAGATTAGATAAAGTATCCTGCTCAGGGCCATAGTTTGTCATGGACATTGCTAGAATTCAAACCTAGGTTGGCCTCACTCCAGAAGATGTATCTTAACTACTAAGCTATATCGTTTATATGGTGATGACTGTGAATTATCAGCTGCAACTCAGGAAGGGGACTTTTGAGTCATGGTTAACTGTCTCCTGGGCACATCCCCTCAATGTGTTACTATATTTAAAAATATTTTTAAAAATGAGGAACTATATATAGTCTTACTCATCTGTAAAACCTTTGTACATCCATACCTGAAATACATGATAAATGGTGATCATTCCAAAATACATAAAGGTGTAGAGGCAAACATTTAACAACTAAAATGACCAGGGCGTAGAATGGGCTTCTTACAAAGAATAATCAATCTGGAAAAATGGCTGAAAAGAGGATATAATGCTTTTTCACTATAGATTATTAGAATCAGAGGGCATGTGTTCAAACTTGGAGGTAGTTTTCAAACAAATAAAAGTACTTGTTTAACACAGCCACTAGGGACCACATGGAGACTCCACTCTAGGAAGTGAGGTACAGCAGAAAGACCACTGGCAGAGGGATAAGGTGATCACTAGGGCGGAAGTCTTGGCTCCCTGCCGACTAGCAAAACACCACCTCTTTGAGCCTAGTTTCTTCATCTATAAAATGGGAGTAACATCTACTTCCTAGAGTTGTGAAGATTAAATAAGAACGTGTTTGTGCTTGTTATGAGTATTCAACATGTACTAGTTCCCTTTCCCTTACTATTCTTCTCTGTCCTATATTTAAAAGAATCTTGTCCCTGCTCTGAATCCTTTTTAACAGCAAACAATCCTCTAAAACTTACTTTTAAAGGACTAGATTTTCACATAATAAATTTTCCTAGTCACATCCGGATCTCATTTAATACTGTCTTTGGCAATGTTTCTTTAAATTCTAACATTTTACTGATAAACTCATTTAGAAGGCATCTGAAACTTATGCTGTAATCAGATATGCAAGCTTGAGTATATGCTCTACCAAATACAGGGCTATATATATATTTTTTTTGGTCAGGAAGATTAGCTCTGACCTAACATCCAATGCCAATCCTCCTTTTTTTCTTTTCTGAGGAAGATTGGCCCTGGGCTAACATCCATGCCCATCTTCCTCTACTTTATATGGGACGCTGTCACAGCATGGTCTGACAAGCAGTGCATCGGTGCATGCCCAGGATCTGAACCTGCGAACCCCAGGCCGCCAAAGCAGAGTGCGTACACTTAACCGCTACAACTGGGCCAGCCCCTGGAAAGTTCCTAACAGCTGTACCTTGACAAACTAGTTAGGCGTATCACAAGTAATTTGTTACTGATTAAATTACTTTATTTATTAAAACTTGTGAATAATTTGCTTTTTTGTTAAATTAAAAGTTTCAAGTTCCCTCTAAGAGTACTCTCACTTACACTTCTGATAAGCTTTCTGATGGAAGAATAAGAAGTTTTTAGACACCAAGCAGGCAATGGACAGAATCCTGGGTATACTCACAGGGGTATGAAACGTGAACATTATTCATGTGCATCACAGAAGAAAAAGTGGTTATGGCCGGCCCCGTGGCTTAGCGGTGAAGTGCGCGCGCTCCACTACTGGCGGCCTGGGTTCGGATCCCGGGCGCGCACCGATGCACCCCTTCTCCGGCCATGCTGAGGCCGCGTTCCACATACAGCAACTAGAAGGATGTGCAACTATGACATACAACTACCTACTGGGGCTTTGGG